CAGCCAATCTTTCTTCCTGTCTGACTCAAAATGCAGACAGCTATTTGGCCTCACAGAGTGCCTCAACAAGGCAAGACATGAGGTTTACGTGACATGTCCCAACCCTTGACATTGTGAGGAGGACCAGAGCTGCTACTGAGCCAGACCTCACACAGGAATTGTCAACAGCCTTCCTGGGACCAGTGAATCACTGGACTCTGCATACATCACAGAAATTTATCCATCTTTCCCATCCCCATCCAATAAGGAGATATATGGGACCCACTACAAAGGCAGCATTTTGCCCAAAAGCTGTTATATTAACATAACATAAAGAGTGTTTCTAAATGATATCACATTGAAGAGGAAATACAATAAATAATTAACCTCGCGATGCTCATGCAACAGTCAGACAGCTCTTAACAGTTGAAGGAAGGGAAGGAACCTCTTCCTCAGGGTTGTGTTTGCCACAGTAAGATGCAATTGAGAGCCAATGACACATCTGGTGAATGAATATTCTCCTATTCAGCTGTAACATACATTGTTCTTCCACGGACAGGCGTACCCATTGTCCACAAAGTACTGCTTGACCAAGGAGTGCTAGATTCCAGTTTTCTAAACCAGGGAGTCCCAGCAGGCACAACTCTGTTCACCACTTCAGTATTTAGTAATTATATGAAGTTGCAGAACAAATTAGAGAAAGGGAATGAGCTATGTGGACTCAGAAAATAGTGCTGAAATGATGTTAGGACAAAGCAATGGTACAATCCAGTCCAGTCATTATGATCTCTGAATTCACAGTGCTGTGAGCTGTTCTCCTAAATTTTCAGCATTTTCCAGAAGGCACAGCTGGTGAGGCCACTACCAACAGCAAAACTCATGCATCTACTCCTCATTCAGCTCCCAAAGGGAAACAATAGGGGTACCTTCAGAGCTAAGTAGCTGAACCCTGTCTATGCTCTTGGGAAGCTGAAAATAAGCTAGCAAGTCAATTTTTTACTTGTAGAATCTTTATATTTTTCTAATTGCTGTTGCTTTTCAGGCATAAGAAAAGAGATTCTGTAGTGGCTGGACATTGTAGCACCAACTTTAACAACAAGGAATTATGGAGTTACAGCAGCAAGTTCCACTATGTTGTCACTCTTCGAAGGGAAGGAGGAAAAGTTATTCTTGGACCTCATTCACAGACAGCAAGAAGAAGACAGGTTTTTCAGATTCAAAACCACATTCGCTACCCATGCTACCTTTCTAATTTTATGGAAAATGATGTTATGCTGCTGAAGGTATAGACTTATATGTCATTTATGGAATACATACCTCCTATGATGTATCGTTTTCTTCCTTCTTATGATGGAAATGAACCACAGGAGTTTCTGGTGACTTTTTTGGGGGGGTGATATAGTCCGGTCTGCTAAATCAGCAAACTGGTGAATTGGAGATGCACTGGGAACTAAGGCGATCAACAAGTTCTGTACTGCATGCCAATGCTAGAAGTAGAAAAATTCTGGAGCTTACCAAGATAGTTCAGTCTCTGGCTTTTCAAGGAAAGAATAAAGACTATCCACAGAAAGAAGTGTATTTCATATATAGAAATAATTTGGTTAAAACCCCTAGTGTTTTGTCTGGAAAACAGTTCTAACTAAAAATGTCCTACTTCTCTGATTTTTAATTTTGCTGGTGTCAGTGAATTTGTGATTTTGTCTTCCCAATGATCTGAGAGCCAGTGAAGTAAAACAGGGTACTTTTCAGAGCTCGTATTTCAGTGACGCTAAATGGGTTTTCATGAGAGAAAGAATACTCATTTTCCTCATTCTTACATTGATTACATAAATCCTGTCACAAAGAACTGGGGAATCTCAAAAAGGGGTTGCAGTAAGCCCCTATTACCATAATAAAAATGATCCAATTGTTAACATGCTGGGGCCTCTATTAGACTCTGCCCCACACTAGCTATTTTCTGTAACATCTACAGCTCCAGAAAAGAGCAAAACTTGATAAAGCTGTGCAACTCATTCCATTGCCTACCTCAGATGACCCCCAAACCAGGAATAACTTGCACAGTAGCAGGATGGGGAAAACACAATCATCTGAGAAAGGCTTTCTGATACCCTGAAGGAGTTCAATATCACTGTCATCAGCAGGCAAATCTGCAACAAAAATCATTATAAAAACAACCCTATTATAATAGATAACATGATTTGCACAGGACCTAATGAAAATCTTCTTCAAAGGAGGAAAAAAGAAGAAATCCACAATACATTTTATTTCTACATGAAACTGGTGCAAATTTTATTTAAAAGAAGCATTTTTCTGCCCTTGTAAATTTGAACAATGTATTTTTTCTCTTTTCCACAGAGATTCTCGAGGACCCTTAAGATGCAATAATGTGATGAGCGGCATTACTTCTTTCAGGGAGGCAAACAAGTGTGGTAGTGTTGATGACCCTGGTGCCTATATTTGACTTACAAAGTAAGACTTCCAGTGAATAAAGAAAACCATAGGGGGAGCATAATAGATGAAGTTTTGACCAAGTTTGTACTTGTGTAACAGTATCTAGTTTTGAAATAGGCTTTCAAAAATCACTCCATTATACTAGTAAAAGAGGTATTCCCATGGTGAATTTTAGCAGCTTTATGTCCTTACAGATGAAAATATGTATGGCTGTTTTCAGGACAGGTGAGATCTTAGCAGGGCCAGAACACAGCGCCTGCTACAACAGGACTTGAGCTCATACTGTCAACCATGGAATCATTTAACCAATATTTGTGACTCAAGTTTCCAACATTTTTGTGTTGCATATTCAGACTGGGGTCTGCATGGATGAGTATTTCCAACCAAGAATCTAATCCAGCTGCCTGTGCCCTCACTGCATGCTGAGTATATACAGCACTCTTCTGTACCTGGACTGCTGCAAATACACTGCATGGCTTTAATATTGATTAGCTCCTTCCCTACCAGAGTCATCCAGCCTGTGTTACACACCTTTTCCTATATTTGACAAACCACACCATTAATGTACTGTTAAATGAAAAAAAGAATTTCTGGGGAAATTAGAAAAAAAAAAGAGTAAAGAGACTAATTTCAGTCCTTTATTCTCATTTAAGAGAGAAAAGAATGTTTTTAACATTTTAAAAATTGTTTAAAATACCAATTTGAATATTTAAATCATATTCTAAAAATTTAATAAAATTTACTGCAACAAACACACTCATATTAGAAGACAGGCACAGTGAAAGTTATTTCCCATTCTTAGACATCAGCTTCTTGGTAGTCATTTCTCAAATGATATTCAACGTTCCCATTTTCTAACCTGTTTTGAAGACCACACAGATGACCACAGAAAACTGTAGCAGACTTAATTACTAGGTAAAAAATGGTCTCAGACTTCCAGACATGAATTTAGCAGCCATGTGATTTCCGAACGGCAGAAGATGAGGTTTTAAAAATGATGAGAACTAAAGTCATGATAGTTTCACATTCATTTCCAGAGATACTTGCATCCCTGCTAACATGTCCTATCTCTCTTCATGCATTTGATTACAGTGTAATTTTCCATGGGCTGACACTGCTTTACTCCCCTAATCTCCCATTCTTCCCACCTACAGGAAACAGTCTAAATACATTTCCAGAGGAAAAAAAAAATCAAAACAATAAGAGTTTCTGAGCTCACAGGTCTTCTAATATAGAGGTGCAAGAGTGAATCCTTACCACTTGCCTCTCATCACTCCTAATAATAAAAGCAAAGCTCCAAAGATATTTGTGGATAGAACATGTCTTGAATAACACTACTAAGTTGCATTTGAATAGCATCTGAAGACCAATCCTGACATCCTTACTTAGCTGTTGACAGTGTAGAAGTCTTACACAGGCAAATGTCTACTAAAGTCCAAGATGCTTGGCTCTTGTGAGCACTAAATACAACTCATAAGAAGGCAACAGCTACCAGGTTTCCTGTCATACAAAATTAAACTGGTGCCCTTGAGGAATGAATGAAATAACTGTTGTGCTTGATCAAAACAGTGTGCTGATTCACTACGTCCACCCGGCTTATTAACTAGTTGATCACATAATTATGCATAATAATAGAATTACGAAGCAATTATTTATATTTTCATTGTCAAACATAGTAGGTGGATTTAAGGAAACAAATCAAAATCCAATAGAGACAGTTTGCTAATTAAGCTATTTACTATAACCACTGTGAAAACAATAAAGAATTCCCAAGAAACCATTTATATCTATTTACAGTTACATATTTAACCCAGATCTCTACAAATATCTAAACAGATTCTGTACCATGACCTATGTGATATATAGAACAATACAGACCCCTGAAGTGGTCTCTGCTGATCCTAGCCTTTGAATGATTCAAGGCAATTTATACACATTTGCATGTGATTTCCAATGGAGATGCTAAGATGATATAAAATTACTTACAAGCATCATAGCTAAAAGCAGGACCTACGACTTTATGCTGAAACTTGACACAGGGTGGATTTCATTAAACTTGCAATTTTAATGAAAATAAGTAAGACAAGCTACTAATATTTCACATTATGGACTGATGAGGAAAATTGCTTTCTCTTGAAAAAAATTGTACTATCTTTTGCCATGTTTCCATTGGAAGGAACACACATATTTTGAATTACTGAATGGGCTAAATACATTTAAATCATTTGCTTTCAAGGAAAAGAAGTCACAAAAATGAGCTCAAATAACCCTCAGAAAAAGCCTCGCTGCTGTGCTTGCTCTCCCCAGGCTCATGGCATTTCCACAGACAAGACGTCCCATCAGCCGCAACAGAAAAAAGCCTGCTCTGATCTGGGCTCAGAGCTGTGTGGAGGACTCTTCCTTTGTGAACTGTAAAATAAAATATATACAAAAAACAAAAGAAACATCACAATTCTGTATTGATTATGCCACTCATTTTCACCATCCACAACCACAAGATGGCTTGTTCCACTTTTACAGCAGCAACAAAACACACTGCATAGGAAGTGGGAAGCTCTATTATCTAATAATATCTAATATTATCTATAGAATATATTCACATTAAGAATGAGCTGAAGGCAATAAGTAATAGGAAAACAGAAATCAATCCTATAAAAAGGTTACTGTCTTTCCATTGTTATTCTGCTCTGCTCAATAACAGGCAACCTCAATTACTAAAGTACCCAACAGTTGCTGATAGTTCGTCATTGTTAGCTGAAATCTTCAACATTTTGCAGGAAGATTTAACAATAGCATTTAGTTACAATTTATCTATTCATTTCTCTGGGTGTAAAACTCATGTGGTTAAGGGTGTTTGAGGCTGATTTAGAACCACTTCACAATCATCCATCACAGTATTTTTTCTGAACGTCTTTTGATACATTCACAATTTCTTCCAACACTCAATTGCTTACAGAAAGGTATTAAGAGCTTTCATAAGCAGGAACATCTGTGTAACAATTATCTGGACTTTTGTTCATGAAAATTAGTTTCTTTTGCAGATGAGTAAACTGAATAGGAAACAGGATGATGTGTAGCACTCCAACTTCATTAAATTACTTTTATTTGACTTATATGGTAAAGGTTTTACTCCATACACTATTCTCAAAGGTAAGATTAAATCTAATTTTCATTTCTTGTAATATAATGAAGACTTACAAAGATTTGTGAAACCCCAAGCTTCCAGATAATTTCTCATAGCAACACATGCCTTAAAAGATGTACATAAATGAGGAGGGATAAGGAAGGAAAAGCAACACAGACAAGCAGCATTACACAAGGATAATGTGTAACCAGACCCACGTTTGTCTCTGCTGCCCTCTCTCTTCCATCCGTCTTTGCTTTGACCCTCCTGTGCCTTCCTCTTACAGGCTACTACTAAAGACAAGCCCCTGGTTCCACCCAAGTCCCTGGTTGAAATTCTAAGGCTTCTTTTACTGCATTTTGTCAGTGAGTATGAAAAACCATACATAAGAAAATGCAGCCAGTGCAAAAGAGATCTGCTTTTTTTCTTTAACTTCAGACACTTCTATTGGATCACTTCAGTTAACACTGAAACAAGTAAAACTTAATGGATAGGAGTGACAGCAAGCACCAGAAACAAGAAGGTCTAATAGCAAGGAACAACTTTTATGTGTAATGTATCCCTACACAATGATGCAAGGAAACTCCACCTTCCTCTGGCTGTCAACGTGGAACAAGGGAAACATGCTGCACCCCATTGTTTCACAGTCACTCATTCATTAAAACCCAGACAGCAATAAATAACACATGGTGATTTATTTTAAATGTCATTTGAAAGCTGGTTCAGTATCCTTGCATGATAAGCTGCAAATTCAAAGAGCCAAATCTAGTTCATATTACCTAGAAGGCCATCAGCCTAGAATACATTGGAAGCAACCTGACATTGCCACACTCAATCCAGGCCTAGTAAGCCTTAGGGAGAAGTGGAAATTCTCATCTTTCACCTGGGATAGCCTTAGAAATAACAGGAGATAATACCATTACTGAAACAAAAAAGTTTTACAGAAGCAGCTTAGACTACTACTCTAATAACTCAACCTTTACAAACCCATGAATCAGGATTGTGCGGATAAATGCATTGTGTAGGCAGAGGAAGGATGTGCAGGTGACTGCTCTTTTAACTCTTTTTTCACATAAATGCATGAGGTTTCCAGTTGCAAAAACACACTGGTTAGACAGACAGTTAACTGAAGTAATTAAAACTATTAACTGAAATACTTGCCATAGAGTTCTGATGAATTGATAAGTATGGGATACTTCCATATTTTCATCTGATGTCCAGGAAGGCCATGTCCAGTCATCAGTTCGCTGGTTTTGGGTAACCAGAGCAAGGAACAAATCTATTGCAATTTAAAATTCTGCTTTAGTTTTCAGAAAGCATCAGCATACACTATTCAGTGGATCTGAAATGTTATCTACAATGTTTAAACAAGCTACTGTGAAATAGTCACAGCAAAATATTTACTTATTTAGAAGGATCATTTAATTCCTTACAACACTTGGAAGTAAAGTTGCCTTATTGTCCTCTCTAAATGTGACAATTGTCTATCAGCATAATATGAAAGCACTTCCAACACATCCTCAGCTAAGCTGTAATAGCTCCAGGAAAATCAACAGTTATGCTCCTTTACTCCAGATGAAAATTTGTTCCTCTATCTCCTAATATTCAAACTCCAGAGACAGATGTTTGCCCTCTGACTCTTACACCTCTTCTCACCCCAGAACTCTGGGAACTTTCCCTCTTCCTTAACATTCTCTCCACATCAAGAATTTTGGCCAAAACTATTACTTCCAATGAGGAAAAGATTATGGGAAGTGTCTGGCTGCAAGACCACCTCCTCTTCAGTCACTTCTATGTGGAGACAGAAGTGGTGAATAAGAAACAACAAACTGCTTCTGAGTTTAATCACACGCTGCTGTGCCGAACATAGCACAATTGCACACCCAGAGAAAATTCTGCTGTTCCTCTGACCACAGAACCACCCTCAAAGGCACTGGGAGTTTGCCAGAAGAGCACAGCTATACAAGAAGAGCATAGCCTAACTATGCAGACATTCCATCATTTCACCTGAGAATCTGTAGCTGCACTTTTGATTATTTTTTCACAATTAATGTCCCAGACACGCAAAATCCCATCTTTCATTCCACCTCCTGTAGCAAGGACTTTAGACTGCCAAGGACACCAGTTCATAGCCTAAAAAAAAAAAAAAAAAAAAAAAGAGACAAGGAAAGATACCAGAACAGACTAGACTAGGAGGTTAGCTGGAAAAACAGCAGTTTTTGCTTAAAAGCCTATTTGAAAAAATTAACTGCAACAAGCACCCAGAATGTACACACACAGCAATGTAGAATCCCAAAACTCAAAACACTGCTTCCCTTGCCATTGTTTTCACAGTAGTCTACACTGTCCCGCACATGCTCATAAAACTCCATCTTCTCTGCTTAAGTTCACAGACTCACACCTCAAAACTGGAAGAACCCAGCAGGATAGTCTTACTGCCTAAGCCATTGTAGAAGCCTAAGCACCACAATTTACAGGGCTTAAAAGAGACCTGGTTTCTTCTGAGATATTTTCAGGATATGCCTTAAGGTTTGGACTCAGCCAAAGAAAACTAAGAACTCAATTCCACCTGTTTCAATAAACTCGTCTGACTCTTTAACCCCAGCACTTCAGGCCAGCATCAAACTCTTTCAGGAGGGTAAACAGCTTATAAATGCTGTACTCCTCTGCTTCTTTTTGCTAATACCTGTCTTCTCTCCCACAGAGACTGGGACTTCATAAAGATGATGAATCTTTAATTGTCTCATATCCAGTTTACTACTTGAGATTGTTTCCTAGCAACAGTGACATGAAAATATGGGCAGGACACAAAACAAACTTCATATTTAAATTAATTGCAGCAGAGAGAATTTTCCAAAAGATAAAAAAATTAGAAGATCTTGTTTATTAACTTTTAAATATTGTGTCTCAAAACTTCTTTGTGCAAGGCAGAGAGATAGAGAAGGATGTAAACTCTACTTCTGTTTGGCATTATATTTACAAAGGCCTAGTAATCCAGTAACATTTCCTAATCAAAGCCTAGCAAACTTATTTGTTACTTGGAATGAGGAGAACTGGTCTTAAAATTAACTGCATCACAGACAGAGAGAAGAAACTAACAAATATCAGTGAAATAATTTGAAAAATTACCTAACCCTCCACATCAACAATGTTATTTCACAATAGCAAATACAGAAAAACAGACACTCCTTCTCCATATACCTTAACTGCTGAGGAATGTGGTATGGTTTTCAGTGGCTGTGACTGCAATTTTACACCAGGGTCACTAGGCCAGATATTCAATATACCATCACTAGACCCACTTGCCAGCAACTGGTTGGTTAGTGACCATTTCAAGCTGCAAATGCTTTGTTTATTTTGGCAAAGAGTCCCAACATGGTGCTGAGCAACCCGAACATCATGGTGATGAATAGATCCTAGTCGTGAACCACTGTAGATGAGAAAAGACAGCATGGGTTTAATGTTAAAGAAGACAAGGTACATCATCGCACTGATGTTTCTTCAACGATTTCAGAAGCATATTGCATCAGAATGAAATGTGTCTGCAGAACAACAGTAATTTGGTAAAAGGAAACACAAACCAACTATCAAAAGCACACCCTGACTGAAGGGGTGACTGACAACAGAAAAGAGCCAAAGAACTGCCCAGTTCAAGCCAGGCAGAATACTTGTCTCTTGTGGTTTTCATTTTCCTGAAGATACGTTGCATTGTATGCCACTAATCTGCACCCTGTTCAGCTGTCAAGACATTTAATGTAAACTTTCCTATTCTTCATGAAAAATCATTTCACAAGAGGATTTTTGCCAAGGCCGGATATGCCTCCACACCCAATAGAGGCAGCGTAAAACTGCATTGCCCTAGGAAAGGGCTTACTAGCAACTAACTGTGTGTTCTTTGGTTCTGTCACTTCCCTTCACTCCTTCCTCCCACTTCAAGGCTTAAAGAAAATCTGATACCTTTGCACTAATTGCCTGTTAGGAAGTGAACGCATGGTTCTATAGCGAGCACCATCAGTTTACCAAACGAAGGAGGAAATACCCTGACCGGAAGCACAGGTACTATTACAGCTTAGCTCCCAGATACAGCATTACATCAACAGCAGATTTGAACTGAAAATACTGAAAATTTGCAGTATTGCAAAATTGCAGTGCATTTTCTTTTCCTGCTTTTTTTAAGGATATTACCTACATTAAACATGACAAAATAGAAGAGATTCCTGCTGGAAATTCATATTTCCAACTGTCATGACAACACTGAAAACATCAGCAAGTTCAATACCATCTTTCTGGGTATCTAAGAAACAGGTACCTGGCTATTACAGTAAACTAATTTAAGGCAATAATGACTGATGACTATTCTGTACTGGGTCTTAAATTTTTTTCAGATGCAGTTGAGTGATTTGGAAGCTCTAAAAATGCACACACAAAACTGACTGACTGCAAAAAATACCACTCTGTTGTGCTTGTGTTATGGACTTTCCAACTCTCTTGAAGCTCAAAAACCCATGAAAGATTGCAACCAAGCAGTGCTCAAGTGAGTATTAGGCACATCTTCACAGAAAATACCTATGAAAATACATGTGAATACATGCATTATATGCAAAGGCATCACCATTTGCCTCCCAAAGAGTTATATAGATTTTTTTCTACTAAATAATGAGAAAATCTAACCCAGTGCCTTGTGTCTGTCTGAGATGAAGCTAGCTTTGCCATAGCAGCCCTCAATAATGCTGTACTGGTAGCTAGAAAGTTGTTGGTAATGCACAGTGAGCAGTGCACTACTGAGCAGTGCTCACTCAGCAACAAGGCTGTCTCTCCAACATTCCCCCTGTCACCAAGACCAGGGCTGGACAAGACCCTGGTTGGAGACACAGCCAGAACAGCTGACCCAAACTGACCAAAGGGATATTCAAACCATATGAAATCTGCTCAGCAATAAAGGTAAGAGTAAGGAGGAGGATTTGGATTATGATATTTATCTTCTGGAACATTCTTTATGGTACTGAAGCCCTACTTCCCAAGAAGTGGTTGGACATTGCCTGCTGATAGGAAGTAGAGAATAAATCTTATATTATCCTTTGTTTCTAAGCACAGCCTTTGCTATTTATTAAACTGCCTTTATCTTGACCCACAAGTTTATTTTCTACCCTCCCCCATCCAGCTGAGGAGGGGATTGATAGAGCATCTTGGTGGGTATTTGGTACACAGCCGAGCTCAACCCACAACACCAAACGAAAGAAAACTGAATTGCCTGTGTTGGCCATGTGAAGGTTTTCAGTAATTCTAGTAGTGTTAAGTGGAAAGAAATAGGGCTCCTGAGAATCCTGGCTGAAAGGACATTTTTCCACTCAGCATAAAAAGAAATTGGAATTACTTGCTTTTAACACAGAAGATGGCATCTGCTTTGCTAAAGGCAAAGAGAAGAACCAAATAGTGTGGTGAGTTCATTTATGGCACTGAAATTTATTTACAGGTCATGATGATGCGTTGTTGGACTATTTTAACCACAGGAATTAGTAGGTAATCCCAAATTATCAATTGTCCACAGTGACAATTTACTGTAACAATGCTGCTCTTATTTTATTAGCAATGAATATTAGCCATACATCTTTTTTTTCTACTTACACAGATATTTTAACTCTGCTCTAATGTTAGAATGAACTGGTTAGCTTCAAACCTAGCAAAACAAATAAACACTATCTCAACCTAATTTGTCAAGTTCACAGGTTCATGCTGAATTTTATTACTAGTTCCTACTCAGAGGGATCTGTAATTTAAGTTTGTATTGTTTTCACTTCTTTGCCCAGGGTGAAATGCAAACTGAAACTAATGCTTTCTATAACAAGGTTACATCAGATGACACTGTCAGGATACTACGGCTGCATCCTTGTAACTTAACCCACCCAGCATACCTCTTCCAGCAACAGCATTTTATTAACTGGTGTTCAGCTGGTAACCTTGTACCTCATTCCACCTACCAGACCTAATACAATTAAAACCAGAGCATACTGTAAAACCAAACCAAAACTACCATTAGTGTTCCTACCCAGAGATACTAGTTTCACTCTGAGTTTAACAAAGTCAGTCCACCCTTGCTATTATTTCTTCATCTAAGTAAAACAGAAGACTATTCTATGATTTTAAAATTGTAGAGGCATCCAACATAGACAAGTCTCGCCTCAGCCCCTTCAAATCAAAGATCTGAAAGTGGAAGCAAAAAAACACAAAAGAGCACACTTGATCTTTCTCATCAGAGTCCCCTTATTGGAATGATCCCTAAATATATACCAGCTAGTATAAAATTCACCCTTAGCAAAGCAAAAGTCAAGCACTTCAAACCTCCTGGGTAGCAGTGAGATGGCTTTCTCTTGTAGATACACATCTAAAGAGGTGTGCAACTGTTAGCAGCTGTGTTTCAGTGGGCATCTCAAAAGACAGATGCAGTCTTGGTATCAGTGGCAGGGCAGTCTAAACTACATGCCCCCTGCCCAGCACTGGGCAGGCTATAATTTTGGGAGTCCAGACCAAATGGAGACACCATCTCAATCTGAGGCTTTGCACAAACGCAAAGCCTAGCAATATTCTGCAAGTGGTGACATTTTTCTGGAAGGAAAGTAAGAAACAGAGACTAAAGAGGCAGGCTAAATCCCCTTTGGCTGCTTTCCTACATACAATAAATCTACATATGATTTCTGAGATGGCTGATAAGTAGAGAGACAGAATAAAACACTTTTGAGCAAAGCCAAGGAAAACAGCCAAAATGCATAGGAGATTTGTGTAAGTAAAAGCAGCAGTGCTGTTTCTGTGAATATACTATACCACTCACCTGCTCAGAATATAATGATTCCAGCTCAGAGCTCCAACCACCGACAGGTGACCAAACATATTTCTCAACCTCTTTTTGGTTTCAATGTCCCACAGCTGCCAATCCAAAACAAGAAATTCAAATTTAACAACAAAAAGAAAAAAATTTTTGTTCTGTTAATTTTTTTGCAAGTAAGCTACTGACCAGTTCTGATTCAGAATATGGACAATCTCAAGCTCATTTATTTCACAAGTAAGGAGTACTTCCAAATTTTGGCACCTATATCAGTGATGCTGAAGTCAGACAGGATTGAAAGGAATACATGTCTCTGAGTTCAAAGCTGTTTCTTAACATATCAGTATTTGGAAGTCCATACTTGAAAGCACCAGTCTTCAGTTCTTTCAGATTGCTGACTCAGGACTGCAGCAGGTAGGTCCTCATATCATCTAGCATCTCAGCCAAAGTGCCCCAAAAATCTTTTAACAATAGGACTCCCCTATAACAGCAGGCTGAGACATATGTGTATAATCAGATTAAAGGCAAATTCTCATACATGAATCTGTAAGGAAAAGTTTGGATTGAGATCTCAAGGCATCGATCACTACAGTGAACTTAGCAAGAGAGACCCAAGAAAAAATAGGCTGTGCTGAGTAAAATAATTTAATAGAGTTCCTCTTACTAGTAGCAAGAAAAAAAAATAAAATCTGATTGTCTTCGGGCAACTGAATCTTTAATTTGGTCATCAGCAATTTAGTGGCTTCAGAAGCTCCCCTACGTATAGATAACGCTGGATAACTCAGCCCTTCAGTAAAGTACTATATATTGCACAGGGAGTGCTATATATTGTCTCAGGCAGAGTTCTTCTATAGTTTAGCCCATCTTTTTTATTTTTTCCACTTAAAAAAAAAAACCAAAACACCACAGTATCAAACTGTCTTGTGACCACTTTGGCTAAAAATGGAGAAAGACTAAAAAAGGAAATTATTTAGTACTTGCACTTCTCCATCACTGGTGCCAATCGCAAGGCAAGTTCCCTCTGTTATCCAAGCTAGAGAGGAAATGTATTTGGAACTGGAATTCAAATCAATGCTTCCAATGGCTTGAAGAGTTCCTCCATTCCAGATGTGTGCAGCAGGTCCTACAGCAATAGCAATGAGATTTTCAAGGCTCCAGTCCAGTATGTTTAGATCTAGAAGAAAGCTACAAAGAATTACTGCCAAAAGTTGTAGGTAATAGGATGGAGACAGAGGAAGTATGGTTTGGGGAAGAGAAGCCTATTTTTTCTTTTTAATTAGCTATGGAAAAATAGCAAGAGAATGTTTCTATGAAAACACTACTTACAAGTATTCCTCCTACATGAAGGAAAGTCTCTCTAACAAGCTAAGGTCTTCATAAGTCTAATCTCAACAAATCATATGTTTGTATAGCAGGATCTGACTTACAGCTTTCCCAATATAATTTTTTAACCTCTCATCCTGGTATTTTGGATCACCACATCATTCACTCAAATTTCTGCTACCAGAAATGTGGGTCCTCCACCAACAGCTACAGCTCCCAAAACACCCTCCCTTCGAAGTAATTCTTGTGATTGAGGAAGACACAGGATAAAGTCTATATGCTACAGTCTGTCCTATATTTTGAGGTTAATAACATTTACCCTGCACACAACAGGAAAGAAAAAATGCAGAAAGGAATTAGACAAATTCTGCTCCTCACCTTCAGAGCTTACTCAGCAAGTGCATAATAGAAATAATGTTTCAGCTGCCCCTGATGCTAGGTACACTGCACTTGCAGGTCCTGGCAAAGCAAGTCATTAGTCATTGGTGATTAGCCTTACAACATCCTGCTATGGCACGTATGACAGAAGTTGGTATAAAACACTTAATATTAATCCAGTACATTTGTATATGTCAAGGGAAATCCTCATCTGTGCACTCAGGACAGCTGAAAATATATCCTGCATGACACCTGAAGCACAGAAGACTTTTACCACAGGCCAAGATATGACATCATATACTGGAAACTAAAATCACTTTGAAGAAACAGTTGAATATATCAGTCAGCTGTTTGTTGCAGTCCTGGTTGTTGCAGCCAAAAATCACTTCCAAAGATTTCTGTTACTGCAGCTAGCCTTGGAGCATACTTTGTGCACAACCAGTGTAAATCATACAAACAAACCTTTGTCCTGTCCATAGACACACATGAGCATTTGCAAAGATATGTTGAAAAAAAATCTCAAAAGGGACAATTAGAATACTTTCACAGAGTTGCTCATTAGATGTTATTAAATATTAAAACACGTATTTGCTGCTGTAGACTGGAGCTCCATTTGTGTTCAAGTGTAACTTGAGTATGTTTAATGTTTTGCTTGTGCACCACCAAAGACATAAGAGAAAATTTAGTTCAGAAGGTATCTATCATCCAAACTACAATGTCACTGATACCTCCCAGAACAAGAGATGTCAAAGTCTGATCAATAAAGCTGTTGTTGTGTTGACAGGCTGCTAGATATCCAAAGCTGATAGCTGAAATGTTTAACTTAATTAAGCAAAAGTAAGTATACTGGGTTGACCTGAAAGTTGTATTGAGATCAACAACCAAAAGAAACTGCATGAGAGGCAATACTCATTCTAGGGTTTGATGAGTAAGTCTACATCCTGGGACAAGCAGTTTTCAAAGATGCATCCTTGTAAGATAAATGACACCATGCGCATGTCCCGCAGCTTCCATTTTATGTGAAGCAGACACACCCTCGCCATCCTTCTTGAAACACACATAAGAATTCCCAATCTCTGCAAAAAACACCACAAAGAAGAAATTAACTTACAGTAATCATTGCGCAAGCCAGTAATATGAAGCCTCACTTCTAGCTCCATTGGTACAGAAAGCTCCATCTTGGTAACAGCTCTAAACTCATTTTGGTTCCCCTCTCGGCACCCTGTATTTCATCACATACAGATCAGTAATGCAAAACACCACCAGTTTTTCTCAGGCCTAAGCCTTTCATTGTAGTTTTACATCCTCTTTCAATCCTTCATGGATTTTGTCAGCTAGAACAGAAAATAGGGTCCATTATATTTTGCTTAAATTCTACCACAGCTCAATACAGAATGTGAGGGGTTTTGTCTTTTTTGCCTTAGTTTTCTGTCAAAGTTGTTAGCAGCAGAATGTTTTATATGTGCTCTCCCACTTCAAAACGCCCTCATACAGCAATTAGCTTTTTTGCTTTCTGATGTTAATTTCTCACCAAAAGGTCTCCCTCATCAACACATAACCAAAGGAAAAGGTTGTTAAAGCACATGACGTTGATCACAGCACACAAAGCTTGTGACAACACATATGCGAGAAACAAAAGCAAATACAAGTATAAGCAAGCGGAAGAGTCACCCTCTGTAGTCTTGATGCAGGGACTCCTAAACATCACACTAAAAAAAGACAGATCATTAGTACTATGAATCATCTAAAGTCAGATTTTTATGTGTAAGAAATTACCTTGCAGTAATGTGCAGAGCAGAAAGCTGGAGATGCACATTTCTGTTCTTTTCTCTGCACTTTGATTTCCTTTTTGAATTATTCTCCAGAAAGGAATATTTAGTATCAAAAGTTCCACAGTCAGAGGACATTATTTATCTTTACAAGTAACTTCTGTTCAAAAAAATTCCTCACTGTAAACGTAACTTAAACACATACATAAACATCTTATATGGAAATCCAGTACAAATCGTGGAGAGCTTATTTTACACAGCTCTTCCCTACTCTGTCACAAGTCTTCCCCCCAGTCCAAAATTCATTTCTGCCAGACAACAAATGTTTCCCTTCTCAGCTGTGGTACCCCCTCTCTCTCCAAATAACAAATAAAGACTGAAAATAAGCAAGAAGCAGGCCACACTGATTTTCTTCTGTATCTAAAATTTTGTGCAGTGAAACAATCAAGCAGACTTGCAGGAACAACGTGCCCAGTGGGACATGTAACACTGCATTCTAACTGTAAAAAGGTCCAGAATTCTCTGTACAGAAAAATCTGTTTCTAATACCTAGATTTTTGGTTATTTTTTGAAAACTGTACCAAAACTTTCTGAACCCAGCCACGTAAGATAATTCAGGAAAATTAAAGCACTTAATTGTAACAGCTTCAATAGCAGCACTTCTGAAACACTCTGAAAATCTGTTTCTTCTTTAACACTGGTAGTTGTTATTGAGAATTGAGATATAAAGGATGAAATCACCCCTGTTACTCATTTCAAGTCACTCTTCTCTCATGAGTAATTCATCCACCCAAATTCATACTGATTACTCTTTCAGCTCATTCACTACTTCAGACACACGAATGTGCATAACAGGCTTTTTAATTAGTGCAAATTGAGTTTCATTACACCATTTTGTGTTACTTTGCCTGGGCACAGATATCACTGACTTTTAATAGGATTTTGGCTTTCACATGCCTCTCTCACTTCTGAAAATGAGACCTGGGAAATGGTAAGTAGTCAGTACTGCCACACCAGACCACCTGATCAACAAGTAGGCTGGTGGGATAAAACCCAGTGTTCCTGATACCTGTATACATTTGCCATAAAAGGAAACAAAACAAAAACCACTGTGACTAATCCCTATACTGTTGCTATTGACTGCTCTGAAATTATTTGCATGAAGAAGAACAGAATATATAAATCTATCATGTAGCCCCCAATTTCTTCTACAAGAGCTGAACTACAGATTAATAAAGAAGCTGGTTATACCGTTTTCATCTGAGCATGAATCAGGCCCTGACTGCTAAGAACCCATCATACACAGAAATAGACAGATTACCAAATCAAATCTTATGTCCAAGACAGAGCACAACAAAATATTGGTTTGATATTTAATGAACTGCCTCACATTCAAATAACTCTGGAAATATCCATATTATTTCACAGGTTAGCTCCTCACACCCCACCTTATTTTCCATCACCTGATCATTCACACTCTCTTGCACTCATTCATTCCTGATAAATCTTTTGGACCAAATTAACCAACTCCCCCACACATTAAACCACAGGCAGTGCAGTTTACCTATCTTTCCTTACAGGAAGGAGAAACAAGACCCCACCATCTCTGCATGTCTTGCACTTTCATGTACTCAACAGTCCATGAAATACATACCCTGTGCTCATACTGCAGCACAACCCTACATTATCTGTAGGGTTCTGAAACTGAAAAGCTAGAAGAAAATTAATGTTTTAAGCAAGCAATATTTAAATTAGATGGAGCCCAAAGGAGAACCAGGTAAAATACTAGCAGTTAACCATGCTGTAAGAAGTTTCCACAGGCAGGGCAACTCTAGAAACAGCCCTGAGCAGCCCAGCACAGATTTCAGCCACTTTTTATTATCCTGTAATATTTGTTGGAACAGCATGAACTTGCTTTTCCTGTGTAGACACAGCCTGCTGTTATCTTACTGTTCAGTATGCACGAACATATTTGCTATAATGGAACATACCTTTCCAGGTGCAATTGGTATTTTCACAGACCTTCATGTCACCTCTTTCTGAAATGCTATATCCAACATCCTGGACCACTGGAAGATGGGAAGGATGTTTCTGTCAATGCAATGAAGAGAAAACATGATCAAATTCAGAAATCTGTTAAAAACGTATTTTAGCATAATGGACAACATAAATCTCCTCAAAGAGTTCAACACTTCTTACAAAAAGCTTTGAAATGCTTGTCTTTTGGATGGACAATCAGTAACAAATACAGAATACCACTGTCGAAATCATGTGCTCTAACTTGAGCCACCATCTTTCCTCCCATAAAACACCAATTCACTGCTAATGATCACACAAACTTTAACAAACCTGTTTGAACAAGGCCATCTGACCAGTGGAAGAGTCTCAGGCCTGTACGCCTGTAGGTACTACCACAGGTCACCAGCCAAACCTTAGTGTCCTCTTGTCCTCTTCTGAGTTAGCATTTGAGCTAATTTTACCAGCAAACAGTACCATGTTTTCTGCATGCAGTCAGTATGCAGAAGACGACTCAGGCTGGCTCTATGAGGGAAGACTGGGTTTGTGGTGTACACACTGCAGGGCCATTAATTCTAGTAAGAGACCTACTGGATGTCAGAGTCATAAATCAGGGTCCCTGAGCATGGACTCTATGATCCCATTACTTAAATCAGTATTCCAATATGAAAATGAAAATATCTACAAGATGTCTCATCATTTCCTGGGGTGTCAAAAGAAACAGATGATGCAGCAGAGATGAGAAAAGATAGATCTGAACTGTTACTGGAACTATTTTTTTTTTAATTAGGTTAGGCCTTTAGGCAAGATTCAGGCAAAGGCTCAGATCAGCTAGCACAAGATACGAATCTCTTCACCAATCCCTAACAGTATGCATTTCTTCACAATGTGCACCAAGTTGAATGCTTTGATGCCAGTTGTCTGTTTGGTGTGTAATTCTTTATTACAGTCAGATGGAAATGCAGCTGATGCTTTCACCAACCACTTAAGATTAGTATGCTCTTCCTCCAACGCCTGTGAAATCTATGCTCCCAAGCATATTCAGCATTACTCTTCTTCAAAACCCTGTTGCAATCATGATAAGAAATGTCTTAGAAAAACACAGCCAGAAAAAAAGTGTTCCCCCTTTATATATCCCAGTTGTTATACAGCAGGCCTTCAGCTTTGAGAGGCACTTTCTGTATAATTTATATAGACAACTTGAATTGCTGAGGTGAGTAGCTCGAGAGAGGACGCCTTCAACACCGGAGCGAGCGGAGATCAGCGCCCAGGAGCCTCAACTCAGAGCGCCAAGAGCCACCGAGGGAGCCTCAAGTCCTCGACGGGACCTGCCCAGGAGCCGGCAGCTCAGCTGACAGAGCGAGCAGGGACTCACAGGGGGAGGAGGCAGGAGCAGCGGCACCAGCCCTGAGTGGGTAAAAACCTGCCCCAGGGAGCGCGGCGAACAGAGCGGGTCGAGGCGGTTTGCGCGGGCAGGAGAGCGGGATGGTGAGCACTCGGCGTGTGAGCAGGGCCCGGTCCGGGAGCTCTGCTCTGGCTGCCCCGGCGGTGGCCGGCGTAGGCACCCAGACAGAGCCGGTGAGAGGGGAGGCTGCAGTGCAGAGCTCGGGGTGTAGAGACTGCCTGCACTGGGCTGGTGAGGGGAGGATGCGCAATGGGCAGGGCTGCACTCGGTGCTCCCTGGTGGAGGTGCTCCTGCAGCAGGGGCTGAGCTGCCGGATGCTGTCAGTAGGCTGCGAGATGTCAGGGAAGCTGAGAGGAAGCAGGAATGCTTGCTCCTGGCCCAAACTGTGCAGGGGCCTCGAGCTTCACCTCTACCTCATGAAGGAAAGGAGGCCGTTAACCCGGGAAGCTGGGAATTAGTGACAAAAAAAAAAAAACAAGAAAAAAAAAAGAAGGAAAAGGACAACCAAAAGCAAGGGGCTTCCCCCTAAACCCCCTGTCCCCACGCAGAACCTCTTTGCTGTCCTGCAGGGGGCTAATGAGGAAGCTCACTCGAGCCAGAAACAGCCAGGCTGATGCACTGCTAAAGAAGATCTCTACTGGGGCTGCTAGGAAAAAGCGGCGGGTCGTAGTAGTAGGGGACTCTACACTGAAAGGGACAGAAGCACTTGTCTGCCGGCCTGACCCCGTCTCAAGGGAGGTGTGTTGCCTACCGGGGGCATGGATCAGGGATGTGGCAGAGAGGCTGCCTGCTCTAGGAAGTCCCACGGACTATTACCCACTCCTGGTGATACATGTGGGTGCTAGGGACATAGATAGTAGTAGCCTGGGGAACATGAAGAAGGACTACAGAGCCCTGGGGGAGGTGGTTAGGGGCTCTGGAGCTCAGGTGGTCTTTTCATCAATTCTCCAGGGTACAGGGGAGGACGTAAAAAAAGCTAGGAGGATTGGCCAGGTTAATAAATGGTTAAAAGGGTGGTGTCATAGTCAGGGGTTTGGGTGTCTTGAACACGGGAGCCAAGTTTGTAGGCCAGGTCTAGTGGGGGCTGGTGGAGCTGGTCTGATAAAGAAGGGAAAGAGCGGTTTTGGTAGGAGGCTTGCCAGGCTGGTCAAGGAGGCTTTAAACTAGATGTGTTGGGGGAGGGGGGCATCATTCCATCCCAACACACCCAGTCAGTTGCCAGAACCTATAATAAATGCTTGGAGCAATGTAGAGATAACTTGGCAGAAAGCTAGTCAGATAGTTTGGATCTGTGTCCCTCTGAAATAAGTGAAGACATTTCTGTGGAAAACCAATTGTGTATACATGGAAGTAATCTTTTGTCCCACAGGGAGACCACACACATTCACTGGAATGTGGGAAGACTTCATTTTCAATGCATCCCATCCTTTAATGCTTCAAGGCAGAACAAATTAAATAGTCACCAATTACTGTGTCTAAGTAGATTAATAGATTTGGACTGACTTCCAAGTGGTGTTAGGAAGAACTTGAGATTTGGTCATCCCACAATGTTACCTCAAAGACCCCCAAATCACACTTTTAAGGAAATGGTTGCGGACCTTCATGCAGAAGTTGAATATCTTAGGTCTAACTCAACTCCTGCTTGTAAATCACAGGTAAGTGACTAGGTAAGTAACTTCATTGTAGAGGTGAAACAATGACTTGTGGAAGACTGACATACAGTACTTACTGGGATCAGTATAGTTTAGTATCTTCATCAATGACATAGACAGTGAGATCAAGTGCACCATCTGCAAGTTTGCAGACAACACCAAGCTGAGTGGTGACGTTGACATGCCTGAGGGATGACATGCCATTCCAAGGGAGCTGAACAAGCTTGAGAAGTGAATCTCATGATGTTCAACAACGCCAAAGTGCAAGGTCCTGCAGCTGGGTCAGGGCAACCCCTAGTATCAATACCAGCTGGGGGATGAAGAGATTAAGAGCAGCCCTGCGAAGAAGGACTTGGAGGTACTGGTGGATGGAAAAACTGGACTAGAGAAAAGAAGGCTCTGGGGAGATTTTATTGTGGCCTTTCCATACTTGAAGGGGGCTTGTAAGAAAGATGAGGGCAGATTTTTAGTAGGGCCTGAGCAAACAGGACAAGGAAAGAGGGTAGATTCAATACAGATTCAATTCAATATAAGGAAGACATTTTGGGGGATAAAAAAATTGTGGTGAAACAATGGAATAAGTTTCCCAGAGAGGCTGTAAATGCCCCATCCTGGGAAAGAAGGGACTCTGAGCAATCTAGTTGGAGAGGTCCCTTCTCATTGTAGGGGGGGGGGGGTGGTTTACATAACTTTTTAAGGTCCCTTCCAACCTAAAACATTTTATGACTAAGAGAGAGGACAATGACATGTACTCGTCTTTCAGAAGACACTACATTTTAAGGCAGAATGGTTTACATACATTATGGTAAGTTCTTATCTCACAAAAAAAAAAATACTAAATTTCTCTGTCAGATAGATTCAACTAAGATTATTAAACCATTGAGTTGTTTAATAAAACAATTCTGAAATTCATAGACCATGAAGGGGGACAGGAAAGAAGAAAGCATTGTTGTTGGAAGGATTTGAAAACAGCTATCAGCATCCTCAGTAGTGACCACGTAACTGGTACAGTCAAGGAAAGGAGAGCACAAGAAGAAGCATGGTCACTGACTAAAAGATTGCAACAATTAGCACTAAAAGAAAGAAGTGGTTTAGAGTGTAATGTTATGGTAGCAACTTTTACTAATACAGGCAAGCATCACCATGCTACACATGAACAGAAAATTTTCAGTAAGTGAACAGAAAGAGGTGAGTGGCTGGAGAGTAGTTTATTTAAGATGACCAAAAAGCAACAGATTTTATCTAAAGAAAAAAAATGCTATGTGAGTGTCTACTAGGAAAACTGAAGGGATAAAGTCTACAGCCACAGAAAATAACACCTACATGAGAAATTATCTGAAGCTTGTTTCACATGTTAGGCAGATTCCACGTGTTCTTTTATCCTTGGCCAAGATGCTGACCTTCTATTGTAATGACAAAAAATTTCTTTTGAAAAATAAAATCAAAAATTACTTTTTTTGCAAATTTTTCATAGCACTTCATTCTGTCTTCATGACAAAACGAACAGCTACATACTGCAAAATTGAAGAAATTATCTTCTTCGCACAGAATGGTTATTAAGGCAAATGGAAAACTGAGTCATTCATGCTTTTCATGCGTATTTTTTACAATACACTTTTTCCCCCAGAGGTAACAAATGAATCTTGAGGGGTTCATTAGCTTAGTTCTGATTTTAATTTACAGGACAATAACCTGGAGGAAGGGAAGAGAAGCTGAATCAAATAAATAATGAAAGAATTGCTCCTGACATTCATCTAGGAGACATTTCCTAAATGGACCTCCTAATGTTACTGTTCTCCATTTCAGTAAGATAGTACCCACATAACAGATTCCAGGCCCACAATAAGATTGAAAAAAAATAAGGAAAGCAAATACCCTACTTGTGCATTTCAGTGTTGCAGTACTCACCTGCTTCTTTTCCATTCCAGCTCTCCTGATATTCCTCCCTTCCAAGCCTGCTGCAGCATGTCGGCTAGCTAGAGTCACAACAGTTTTTATGCTGGAGAGTTCCTTAGGCACCTGAGATGTCACTGGAAAAAACAATTTTAATGGTAACAATTCCTTTTAAAGCCATATACAGGGATATTTGTCAAGTACTTTTCAGAATAACACTGATTTTGTAGTACGAGTACTCTAAATGCAGATCTGATACACTAAGTCAGAAAATGCAAATACTGACAATTGAACCAGTTAGCCTGCTTTCTTTTTGTCAGTGAAGTTAAAGAGACATTTCTACAGCACTATTAATTTTATCCTAAAAGAGTTGTCTAAAAAAGGTCAGATTGATCATTCCCTTCATAAAAAGGGTCTGTTTACTATTGCAGCTCACATCCAGTATTAGATTTATTGACTGGTTACACAGGATCCTACCTCATAGGAAATCAATATCCAATTTCCCATAGCCATATAGGCTTTTACCACTGCTTGTACAGACAGCATGCAGGACTTTAAGTTCTAGAAACTGAAGCAGGGAAGACTTCACCTTATTTTAGAACCTGAGTTTCATATAGTTAGGCATGTATTATTAAACAGCTCTAGTATTCTGCTTAGCAGAAGACAGAATTGCACTTTCTGCCCAACACCCATGGCATTGTAGGTATACATTCTGAACACTAAACAGCATCTTTTATTTGCTGCCTAAAGATTTTAATTATTAATCAAGAAATAAGCCATCTTTAGTTCCTCAGACCTTTCTGGAAGCTCTTCTCATACATGCAGCATTTAAACCTTTCCCCACTTTTCCTAAGCACGGCTTGAAAGTAGGAGTCAGTGAGTTCAAAAGCTCATTCAACTTTTCATCAGCTTCCTCTGTCAACAGAAACAGCCTCCCCTTCAGTCACTTTTTCTCCAGACCAAGTGAGAGTACTGAAAGTTTGACCTGTGCTCTGAACAGCCCTCAGATTAAGTCTCTCCATGAGGTGAGCTGAGTGTGGGCATCACTTGGTTACTGTCCCTTCAGTAGCTGAAGCTTTACACTTTGAAGGAGAGACAGTAACAAGAGCAAACTTCTCCGTAAGAAAGTGTACACTACACACACCAGGCATGAACATTGATCCCAGTCCTGCAGTTTTGGCCGAGTCTGTGGTAGCTGTGTATAAGGCAAAGGAGAAGCAGAAGGAAGGGAAGGACAAAGGCCAGTATGAATTCTGCTGCTCTCCTGTCACTTACTGTTAACTATTCCAGATATGAAGGTGCAACAACAAGCCCTGTGCAGTTACAGCCCAGTGCAACTTAAACCAAGTCTAATACAGCCCCATCCCAGAGGAAAAAAAGTCTGGTCTGGAACAGGCATTGCTTGGCTAGGGATAAGACTTCCTTTTCTTTCATTGCTTTCACCCCCCCTTGATACCAGCTGCCCATAGGACCCACTGTCCCATGCTGGCTGTGCACTGGTCACAGAAACATTGGGCCCAGCTTTCCTGTCACAACAGCAGTGCACTCGTCTCCCTAATGCTAATGCAAGCTCTGCCTGTGAAGGCCAGCACAGGCTGCTGCCCAGCACATGCAAGCTGCCATAGCCAGAGCCCGAGAGCGGGACACGGGGACACGGGGAACACCGCACGCCTCACACCAATGCCCCACACCGAGTTATCTCCGAGGTCCCTGCGTGAGGCCATCCCCTACGGGAAGGCTCCGTCGCGCCCGGTCTGACCTGCCGTGGTCCCCGGGGCGCTGATGAGCCGGTTCGCGCGGCGGGAGCCGGCAGCGCCTCCAGCGTGCCGCTGCTGCCATCTTGTGACAAGGGGGCTGCTGGCAGCGGAAGCCCGGGCCGCCAGCTTTCTCCTCATGGCGTTCTTAAACCCGGAGTACGTGGTCCCTTTGGCCACTGGGTCCTGCACAAGCGGAAGGAGACGAAACACAGAAATTTGTCATGACTTAATATCATTCCGTCCCTTCACGCTGTGTCAGGTTTTCCTTTACCGCGGCAGGTGGGCTCTGGTCACCACAGAGCACAAGCCATAGAAATGGATGCTGGCACTCCATCACCTAGATGGAGAAAACCAGACAGAAATACATGTTTCTGGATTAATAAGTACCCCTGAATCAACTCGAACACAGAAAACCTGTGGCAGAGAAAAAAAAAAAAATCAATGACTGAATTTGTGTTACTTACACACCAGGCTACAGCACTGGCCTGTGAAAGACCCAAGGCCTCTTCAGACATTTAGCATAGGCTCATAGACCTGGTCTTTGCTGAGAAACGGGCAATTGGGCAAACCCACATGTTGGCTGTCTGGAACCAGGCTGGTTTTCTGATCCTCACCCAAAGGAGGACTTCAGTCTCTCCTGATTTCTGAATCTTACCTCCACTGTGACTTGATCATGTTACTGTTTTTAATGTTATCTGATAGGTTTTAATACATTAAGGCATACTAAATAAATATTAAATGACAGATTTAAATACCATAAACTCATAGAAAGGTTAGGGTTGGAAAGGACCTTAAAATCATCTGGTTCCAGCCCCCTGCTGGGGAGGCAGGGACATCACACACTAGAGCAGGTTGCTCAAAGCCTTGAACACTGCCAGGGATGGGGCAGCCACAGCTTCTCTCGGCAACCTGTGCCAGTGCCTCACCACCCTAACAGGAAAGAACTTCTTCCTTATACTTAACCTGAACTTCCCTGTTTAAGTTTTAACCCGTTACCCCTTGTCCTATCACTACAGTCCCTAATGAAGAGTCCCTCCCCAGCATCCCTATAGGCCCCCTTCAGATACTGGAAGGCTGCTATGAGGTCTCCACGCAGCCTTCTCTTCTCCAGGCTGAACAGCCCCAACTTTCTCAGCCTGTCTTCATACGGGAGGTGCTCCAGTCCCCTGATCATCCTCGTGGCCCTCCTCTGGACTTGTTCCAACAGTTCCATGTCCTTTGTTGAGGACACCAGAACTGCACACAATACTCCAGGTGAGGTCTCACAAGAGCAGAGTAAAGGGGCAGGATCACCTCCTGGTCACGCTCCTTTTGATGCAGCCCAGGATACAGTTGGCTTTCTGGGCTGCGAGCACACGCTGAAGCTGGCTCATGTTCAGTTTCTCATTGACCAACACCCTCAAGTCCTTCTCCACAGGGCTGCCCTGAATCTCTTCTCCACCCAGCCTGTAGTTGTGGATTGTCCCGATTTGTGTGTAGTACCTTGCACTTGGCTTGGTTGAACTACATGAGGTTTGCATGGGCCCACTTTTCAAGCATGTCCAGGTCCCTCTGGAGACCATGGTCCCCCTGGAATCCCTCCCTTCTTACTTTCAAATTTATTCATAGAGCAATTTGTGTCAGAGAAATATAAAACATAAGAAATATATAAAACATAAGAATATATAAAAATTTGAAATTTAAGAAGCTAGGTAATATTGAACACAATATTTTGGTTTTTTTTAGACAGTTTTAAAGCAATGTTTTAGGTGAAAATAACTACAGTAAGGAAGCATGGGAAGTATAATAGGCTTCATTATTAGGTAGTATTAGGATCATTGTTAGTTACTCCAATAAATATTTATAATAGATAAAGTCCTTTTTAACCACTGAAATGATATTAGATGGCAATTACAAGCTGTTGAGACAGACACCAGAATCTTGCATGGGTTTTCTGAAATTAATCACATTCAAACTTGCTTTTCAAGTCAGCATGCAAGGAAGACAAAACAAAATCTTGAAAGCTGAGAGGAAGAAAGGAAATAGCAAATGAACAGAAAGAAAACGGGAAGAACTGAGTAAGGGAAGACATGAAGACAGAATATTTTTTTTCCCATAACTTGTTTGTTGTAACCACTACATGTTGATCTACCATCAGAAACTAAGGTCAACAGGCAAACATCTTTAACATGTACAATAAATGAAGACAGACAGAACACCAGACTTGGCTCTGAAGTTCAGAGTGTCTTTCACAATTGCATCAGCAGAACACCACTGGAGCTGTCTAGCTTATCATTGAAATTCTCAGCTAACTTATGCTTCTCTTGTGCAGACCTTCAGTCTTTTCATCTCAGCACAGCTAGTTGCCACTTATCCAGAACCAATAAGAAAAGCAACCTGTGTTCCATCATCACTCACACACACACCCTCCATTCAAAACCAAACAAACAGAAAACATCTTACTATCTTCTTATGCCAGCACATCAGCAAGGAGGTTTTCTTTGCTTGATGTACTGTAGAAAAGCTTTACAGGTGGTCCCCAAGCTCCTTGTCCAGGTCTCTCTGATAGCTGCTGAACCGCTCTGCCACGGACACCCAAGGGGCACAGGGGTTGCACTGGAGCTGAACTACAAACCAAGAGGTACCAGCAACTCTCAAGACAGCGTGTGGCAGACCAACATCAGTTTCCCACACAGATCAGTTAAACAGAGCACTCAGCATCCTTAGGTGATAGGAATACACTTATCTTTCATTTTGGCTTTGGATTTTATTTTTCTGCCCAGAGAGATTTCTGTTCTTTCCCCAGGAGCTCTGAAGCCCAGCAGAGGCACTGTAATATGAACCAGCCGCTGCTGCAACACAAGCAGCTTGCTCTTCCCAATCCGAACTGCGAGTTTCATATTTCAGCTCCTCCTTCGCATTCCAGGCCTGCCCAGGCTCCTCTCCAAAGATTCCGAAAATGGAGCCTCTCTCAACTACTTATCCTCTGAAATACTCAGTGCCCAAAGCCAGAGTCTTTGTTGTCTTTCTGTCAATGGTTTTGTGTACCGCCATTCTCTGCCTGCTGCAATTCAGATTTTTTAAAGCTAAAACCAAAGATTTTTATTCTTTCGAAGTCAAGGATTCACGAGGAAGGATCATTTCCTTGGAGAAGTACAGAGGGAAAGTAAGTTACGACTTTATTACATCTTCTCCTTGAATCTTTACTGAAAACGGGTATCCATTTGTAGGTAAACAAAAGTTTGGTCATGGGAAGTTTCAGCAAAGATTTGTGCTAAATTCCTGTTCTTCAAACAGTTACCTGGTAAGAATTTCTTTTGTTTTTTGTTTAGGACTGCTCCAGGAATTAAGCATTAGATGTAATAAGTCAAGAAAAATGGGGGAGTGGAGTGGTGTATTCTTTATTACAACTCAGTATAGCCTAACAATACAATTTGTGCGTTTTAACCTTGGTTAAGAATAGTAGCATGTTGTATCGAATTCTGAAAATTGATCTAGTAAATATGATTCTAGTGCCTGCCTTAAATATCTGCTTTTTTACATGCTTATATTAAAACAAAGCTGTAGGTTGAAGTTTTTATTGAATTTTTTTTTTTTAAATCTATCATCCTTAACAGTTTACTGAAATTATGATCAGACATACTGATACAGCTTTCTGGCAGGAACGATTATGTTAGTGGGAGATGCCATTTTAAAACTTAATTGTATCTCTACACAATCTCTAGGATTTTTTCTTACTCTTATAACTTTATTTCTCTAAAGGCAACTTTGGTTGTAAACGTGGCCAGTTACTGCCAGCACACAGACAAAAATTACATCGCACTGCAAGAACTATACAGAGAGTTTGGCCCCTCCCACTTCACGGTGCTGGCTTTTCCCTGCAACCAGTTCGGAGAATCAGAGCCTAGTTCAAGCCAGGAAATAGAGTCTTTTGCCAAAGGAAACTACGGAGTAACTTTCCCTGTTTTCCACAAAATCAAGATCCTAGGATCAGAAGCAGAGCCCGCGTTTAAATTTCTAATAGGTAACTGTTTTCTTTTACATATCAAGCATCCTGTAACCGTGGTATTCTCCAAAAAATTGTAGTCTGAGTTTGTTTGTTGGGAAACATCGTAGTCCACATAGTCAATGGAGAGAAACAGGCACTCACCATACAGTTCATCTATTTTCAATGTGGGTATCAAAAATACTGTCAGATGACTTGCACCCTGAAAGCATCCATTTCTCCTCACTGGTTATAAAAACAAGTTACTGTGTCCAGCCCAGCTAGAAACATACATTTTGTGGATGTATAAACTTGAGAGCAAAGAGTCCCATCTACAAAATCCCATTTCAAATTGTATAACTTTTGTTATAAAACAACTTTTTTATGGAGAAAAATCTAATTATGTAGGTCATAAAATTACAGAAAGATTTTTCATAAGCACATCCACATTAAAAAAACTCCTTTTCTAGCAGAGTAATATATCTACCTTTATGTAAACTGTATTGTAAAGCATATATACATTAGTTATATATAATCACTGATTTGCGAATTTCAGGACCCAAAAAACTCACTTGCACAGGTAATCCTGTTAACAGTAAATTCAGTCACTCAGAGCCTCATATTCTCACAAGCAAAATGAAACTCTCTTTAGTTGACCAAAGAGTTCATAGTCTCAAAGTCAACTTGAAAATCCTCTCTGAATTCTCCTAAGCTTTGGCCAGGTCTTTGAACCATACTAAATACTGACATACGAAATAAAGGATAATGAGAACATAATCCTTCTCTATCACATCATTTTAAAGAGAAAATAAGGTAGAAGGCTCAAGTCCATATTCCATCTCCCTGCCCCAAGACAGGATCACAGTTACTCAAATTAGTACGACAGCTGCTTTTCCAGACTATTACAGTAGTCAGATGAGAGATACTAAAACCTCCCAGTCTATTACAGGTGTTCACAGCTCCTCTTCTCAGAAAGTCATTCCACCATCTAAATGAAATCTTTCTTACACTGCTTAAGTCTATTGCTTCTTGCCATATCCTCTGTGATACCTAGCATGTACGTGAAAAATAATATCATTCGGGAGTCATTTAAGCAGTCACCGTTGTCACTGTAACTGTTTCTTCCTGCTTCCCCTTAGGCATGTCACCAAAGACCTCAGGTAAGGTGTCGTTGCTCTTGAATAGCCTGATGTCCAGTGGAATTATTGAATGCATGTTGGAGGTGCCTTTCTGTTCATTACAGAGGAGACTAAAGCACATAGGTACCAGCTGTGTGGGATGCATCTGGATTCTAACTACCAATCAGTATCAGACAT